TTAGTTCTTTTTAACCATTTGGTTTGTTTTCTGTGACGTTCTTCGATAATTTATGTACTCTTTTTACAATTGATCATGAACTTTTCAATAGATATATACTTATTATATCTTAGTTGTATTAAATAAATTCCGAATTGGTATCAATTAAAATTTAAAATACCAACCTAATTTTAATATAACTTTTAGACGATCGAACATTGCTTATTTTCACATTTGGCTATTATATCTTCAACTTGTGACTCATAAGCGACGAAAGTTTTTAGCGAAGTGACATAGGTAGATTTGATATATACTATTTCACAATATTACGTATCTATATTTTATTTGAAAGTTATAGGATTTAGACCCGAAAAGGGTTTTTGCAAGTTCGATTTGAACAAAAAGCGATTTAAAGTAAGTGTATATAACTAACTTTACCCGGGTACATCGGGTAGGATTTTATATCCGGATATATCCGTAGATCACCCGGGTAACCCGCGGGTTTACCCGTCGGATAACCGGGTAGCATTTTTTTGATCGGGTACCATCACTATTAATACATTATATTATATTAAAAAAAAAGAAATCACCACTGGTGATTATCAAAAATGTACTAAGTAAACGGGTACTCTAAGTAAAAATGTTCAGGACCTCTGAAAACCTCATGAAAACTAAAATATGGATCTTATATCTAATCTTCATTACAGCATTATATTATATAAAAAAAAAAAATTCTTAAAATTGCACTCTAAAAATCTTAGGAGTGATGATGATCACTGGTGATGTGTAGTAATTTACTTCTTTATTATTATATAAAAATAATATTTTTATTAAAATAAAGTTTTTTTTATAAAAAATTTTTATTGATTCACATTAGCTTAAACCAGGTAAGGCTACCATCAAAAAAATTTCCAATGTCATGTGATATGGCATTCTAAAATCATTTAGCCTACTTGTCTATTGGTCTATTTGGGTAGTGACCGCCCAATGGGACCAATTAGCCTGGTCAATGGACTCGGGGTTCATTAATACCAATAGACAAATATGCCGTCCTGTCTAACACTAAATAAATACCTAAAAAAACTCGAATGTCACCTTCTGGATTATGTTTTTTTACTAGATCGCAACTCAGATTTCACCTTGCTATATTATATCTATAAATTTGTCATAACGTTGACACTGAGCTTAACACTAAGGCCACGCAAAGTTAATTTTTCGTTTTGCATTACATGGATTTCAGAATCAACAGTCGGATTTTTTTTTTTTAAATCTAATAGACTCATATTCATATTTAAGATCACGTTAGTTAATTTTTCGCTTTGCATAACATGGCAATCGAATTTTTTTTTACCAGTTCTATCGGACAATTCCGGAAAAATAAAGTCTTTATTAGGTGAATTTATGGAAAAAAATTAAATGCCAAAAATAGAATTGGCACAATTGGAACCTAAAAAAAAAAAAATTGAAAAAATTGAAAAAATGGGTCGGCAGGTAATGCAAAACAAAAAAATAATTTTGTGTGGCCTAATATGCAAAATATAGCATAAAGACGTTAGATTAATCATTTTTAAAACAGAAACATTATAGAACTTTAATAGTATAAGTATAATGTTTAAGAGAAATATTTTAATAATCTGTTTTCGACTAAAGATTCCAACAATAGAATTCAGATCCGGAAAGAATTTTTTTATAATAATTTGACCTTTTTTAATCAGGGATGGCATGTTACGATATTGGACATTTGGACAATGTCCAATTGTCCAAATAATTTTATTGAACATAGTAACTTTTTTTATTGGACATTAAAAAAAAATTAATTTAATATTGGCCTAAATTAAACTTAATTCGGACCAATATTCACCAATACAAAATATCTCTAATTTACAGCATATTTAAAAAGTATACTAATAATAATAATTATCCAAGGTCGTCACTTTGAATTAGAAACATTCATTAATAAATTATCATTATAAATTAAAGAGTAAAAAAAGTTTATAAGAAATAAAAATAAAAATGGTAAACGTCATCATTGTAGTTAAAAGCAATAAAGCTTTTGTCATCATATTATTAAAATTGCCCAATAAAATTATTGGACAATTGGACATATGTCCAATTGACTATTTGGACATATGTCCAATAATCTTACAATTTATTTGAACATTGTCCAATGGCTGAAGGCGCAAAAAATTATTGGACATTTGGACTATGTCCAATTGTCCAATTAAATTTATTTGGACATTGTCCAATGCCAACCCTGTTTTTAATAGTTACTGTATGTCCCGGATAAAATTAGGCATTCACTAGAAAAATAAGTATAATTGCTGCTTTACGCAGCAGATACATCAGTTACATCAGTTATACTTTTCTATACCTGTATACCTGATTCATTCCTCCCATTCACGTAATCTAAGCTTTCATGTACTTATTTTAAAAAATAAAACTTTTTTACGATATTGTCTTTAAAGATAAATATGGATAATATAGTAATTACAGTATCAATCACGTAAATTAAATAGATATATATCGTTATTGCTTAAAAAAGTCCGCAGTGAGTTGTATAAGCAATGACATAATAATTGAACCTGCTAATATATTTTTATTACACTTGATTGGTAATTCCTTGCGTCCGCACTCGAAAAAATTTTTGCGATAAGCACGTATCATCAATCGATATATGTGTATCTTCATTCACTTTGAAATAACAAAACCGAATTATTACCGTTTATATAAATTATAAAATATAATTTTATCTTATCCATTCAATTTTGTAATGTTAAATAAAGGCTCATGCTTTCGCAAACCAAGCTGAAGAATTTGAAGAGAAGGAATTGTGGGCTAAAGCGATGGAAGCCCATTTCCACGCTGCTGGTATATAAACCCTGTCCTTCTATTACTTTTTTTAAATGACATTAATAATTTCAAGGAATTTAAAGATTCCGAAAATTTTAAGTATTTATGTGAATTAATGCATGTATGCTTTTTTAAAAAAAATCATTTAGACCAATTTGTTTTGACAATAAGTTATACATCAGATTCGGAGGTAAAGTATTTGATCAATTGGTTATTTTTTTTAAAGCTTATACAGTTTGCCTTTATTCATGAATTCAAGCCTTTATAGGTAGCGCGAACTTTAAAATTGCTGTACGCTACCCATAACCGACAAGGCAAAGAATTACAACGTCGTATAGAAAAGCAAGCACAGCAATCTCCAAAACAACCACAAGAACGACTAAGTACACCAACATCCATAGAAGTCGATCAAAATCAGGTTCTGCTGCACCATAAAAGTTATTCTACTCAAAGGACACATCAATGACAATCTAGAAAGGGATCGTCTTCCACGCTACCAACAACGTATTTGAGTTCTCAACATGCTCTGGGCGTACAGATACCATCTAATAACAATGAAAAGATGGTCAGATTTGTTAATATCAGGATTTAGTAGTACATCTGTTAACTCTAATAGTGGCATAAGACGGAACCCAGTATGATCTGATTGTGTGTAGCATATAATATAAAAGTTATCTGTTTGATGTATTGTTGTCAATTTTTTGAATTTGTTATTTGTATGTTATAGCTAGGTGTTCCAAAAGAGATGACGACAACATCGACTGCCCCAAGTATCTCGTTGGAAGGTTCATCCTGTTATTTGTATGTTATAGCTACAACTTCAATAGGTGTTTCAAAAGAGATGATGACAATATCGACTGCCCCAAGTATCTCATTGGAAGGTTCATCCAGTTCTGAGAAAATTGGTGACTCTTATATGGTGTTGCAAGGAAACAATGATTCTACTGACGT